ACGTTTACCTTAGTTAAACGAAATCGTGGTACCATGAGTTTGGACTTAGTTCTAAGGTTAATATTATGGATATTTTCTTTCTTAATGAAATTATGTATATTTTTACGGGCATACAAAATATTTGAGTACATTTACTCAAATATTTTGTACGCCGTGATTTGCCGTGAGATAACGTTTTGTATGCTGTGATGCCATAGTCATGATACCAGTTAAACTTAAACTTTTCTCTGAGTGAAACCCGAGAACCTAACCGGTACACAGAATGAATCGCTCGTTTTTGCAACACAAATATGGTTTGTATATCTCCCGATTTACCCCAGATGAGAATCCAGTAGGACATTATACTATGAAAGTAACTAAAGTATGCAGCAGATCTTAATCTGCTGGTCAGGGAAGATATATGTGGAAACCATTGAAGTTTGCTATCTGTCACTCCCAAAAAGGCAGCTTTATTAACAAGGTCTAACTTTTCTCCATTTATTTCTATGATTGGACTAGTCAAATTTTACATTAGGTAATTCAAATTTAACACACTTTGTCTTCTTGGCATTGAGCAATAAATTGGTAATATTAAACCAATAAAACCTTTGAGAGAGTATTGTTAATAACGATCATATTATCCCTTAATATAGTTGATAAATTGTAGTATATTTAAATTGCAGAATAATATGACTGGATATATGAAATAAACAATTCTATTATATTGATGGTTATTTTTTAATTATCCCGAAGTCACACGCCTAAACATCTAAACTTTGTGTGGTAAATAAAAATTCCTGGATATTTCCATGGTCACAAGACACACCTTTCCCTTAATGTAAGTCAACTCAGTTTGACTACCGCATCAGGGGGCCTACCATAACCTTTTCAAAAACAATATTATTTCATTGTAAGCTTAAAGTAAGCTTATTGTGATATTACCCATATTCGTACCATGACGAACCTGCCAACCAAGTAATGTATTATTGCAAAAGTGATTGAAAGAACGAATGATTTCCCAATATTGTCTATTCCTTACTAAAAGTAGGAGAGAGATAACTATATAATGCCATCTCTTTCTTTTTTGATGTTCCGAATCGACTTATCGTAGTATAGGTAATGTTTAAGTACTTAACGTTATTTACATTCAGAGAATTTTGACTGTTAAGAAAAAAAAAGTATGTAATAATAAAATCTATTAAAATTACGTGGTTTTCAATAATTATTCCGCAATTTCATGAAGAAAAATAAATAAAACAAGCTTAGTCTTAATAGTCGAACTTACTCCAATGTCAAGTGTTAGTTTCGCCAAGGAGCATATACATGGCGCTGTTATAATTTTACGAAGTAAACATCGCGTATTTGTATTTAACGAAAAATTATTTACAATGTGATATAAAATCAAAAACAAACAAAATATTGAAGAGATACATATATGTAAATAAATAAGTTCAACCATTGACTTACAATTATATGGACGTTGGGTCCGCGCTAAAAAGTGTCCGAACTTATAGGGTGTTAAAATCGTATACAGAGCGTCATTCCCGCTTTAGTCTTCGTTTGTTCGACTGACAGCGAAGCAAGCAAAATTAGACAGTACTGCGATGACATTACAATTTAAATTCAACGTTTTAGCTTTTTCATATTCCTTTACATGTAAAATTTAAATGTAAATAAGTTGACTTGGGACATTTTTTTCGTAGTTTTTGCATTAGACCTGTCGTCCATTTATTTGTAAGTCAATGAGTTCAACTTAACTTTTAATCATTACAAATCAATATTTTGACAATAAAACTGAAAATAATATTGTTTCCATTGCATCCGTGTAACTATTTTAAGATTGCTAAATTTGATATAAGAGCAATACATCGAGTATATAACCAGAAATAGAGACGAAATAAGGGCCATATATTCCTGGTAACACATTAGCGATACAGCTCTTATCAATATCAACTCTCGTTTGCACTGAAATATAGACAGGCCAACTACTGACCTGTGTGTACGTCTCCGTATATTCCAAAAAATATTCTGTATTTGTTGTAATAAAGATAATATCTCTAACAATGCCGCGCTGTTCTATTCGGTGGTGTGGGAAAAACGGCAAAACATCTAATTACAAAACAAACGGAATCACATTTCATCGGTAATTAAATATTAAATATGTAATTTTATAATTTTCGTCCATTATAGCAAAGCTCAAGTTAACTGGTCGTTTTGAAGTGAAACAGTTGACGACACCCATTGGCGACACCCGTCAATTGTTTCGAACTCGGGCTAGCCTATCGGAGGGCAGTTGCCACAGTAATGATATGGCAGAATAGTTTTCAAACAAATTAAATGACGTTTCGCCTCTATTTCTGGTTATATACTCGATGGAGCAATATTACTATAATGTTAAAGTCACGTCATAATAATAGTTTTTTTAAATAGATTTCATTATTACATACATATATAATACGAACTGAGTGAATGAATAGTCACAAAGTTGCCAATAAAACATCATAGTTTTAACATTACAATAAGCTTACTTTAAGCGCGTTTTTAGTACGAAAACTCAATGTAAGGTTAAAGTAATATTGTTTTAAGAGGTTGTGGTAGGCCCCCAGATCGACGAATTGTCTATAGCAGCCATTGTTTTGTTTATATGGGCAATGACACGAGAAATTAACATTATTTTTTTAGTGACGGTACGAACAAGTCATGCATCTAGTGGTAAGCGACACCCACAGCAAAACGCTACCTTTCGAATAAAACTTAATCTATAATGGAGGAAAGCGTACGTAGACATAGGCGTTCCGCAAGGATCAATCATAGGACCTTTGTTATTTCTCATCCATATTACAAACGTATCACCAACATGGTCAATATCAATGACAAATAAAACGGACGACTAAATACTATGGTCTTCTCCCCATTTGGCTAGCTGAACCCCAATCTATAAAACACCGACCTCGATTGTTCTAGAGTCAGATACATCAGTTAGTGTTGCTGCTCGTTGTTACAACTGACTGAAACGCTTTATCTTAGTAGTGCACTCATGAATTAGAATTACCCTTGGAACTTGCATTTCCATTGATTTAAACATTGTATTTCTATTGACACTTTGTTTGCTAGTATTTAACCGTGGAGGACAGGTATGTGTTGGTTCAGGATATTAATAAACAGGTATTAAGTAATAATATTAAATGTGTATCGGATGTACAGATCTCGAAACGGAGTTCAAGTTCTTCTATGTCAATGCAGGCAGTGTCTTGGTAACATCTTATGTGACCAAGACACTGCATTTGATTTATTGTGACCGAATGACAATTTTGAGCCGTGATTTATGTGCTGAGCGACGTTAAACGGAATTTTTATTAATCCCTAAATGATGAGCAGGAAGCACATAGAGAAATTGCTGAGATCTGCTGGCTCTTGCTTGGCTTGGTTTAAGTAACAGTGGATCTACTCACGTTCTCGTTTGACATTCCGTCCGGAACAATTATTGTCAAAAAATAAATAATCCTCGACCAAATCAAAAAACCATATCAAGTATGAAGCTTCATTCGCATAATGCTAATTTTAATATGGTCGAGTATTACTTATTTGCCGATTTAGAGACAACATGATGAAATGGGGATATATCAACCCGACTGAAAGCTATTGTGCTTGCAGATCCCCCGGACAAAGCATGTCTCACTTGCTCTCATGCCCACTGTATCTTACCAGTTGCACCTGCTAAAGGCAACATATAGGGGCATAGAGGTGGCTACTTACTGGGCCAAAGAAATATGACGCTGGTTTTCTACTGGTTTAACACAAGAAGAAAAAGATGGAGTATTTTCACAAAACATAGATGAATATCATTGTTATCTAAACATCATGGTGTTCAATAAAAATAAAAAAAGTGCAATCGTTGAGTAATTTCTTAACATCAGTCCTGGATTTGAAATGGATTTGCTTACCATCTATAACATAAGGCTACACTCAATTTTTGAGATGCATATATATATCAAAAGTAAACTCTTCCCACATTTTCATAAAATATGTGCCACCAGTCCGCTATGATCCATCTTTTCCACATTATAAACCACCAAAGTATTTCGCTTGTCTATTTATTCTCCTTTATATTAGTATTGAAACTTTACCGCTGGTGTAAACGTTAAAGTATTACGTGAAAAACAAACTGAAACGGGCACTGAGCAAGTCAGAGGTCGTAAATAGCGGAGATCATACAATAAGAGGGAGATCCAACGGCGATTACCGTAATTACAGCGTCATAAATCCAGGCAGGTAACCTCGCGGCAGAAAATAATGGCTTAAGTGTTAAGTGTATTAAAAGTACAAGAACAACGTTAGTCGCAATGATAGATGCAGGTAGCTATCCTGATAATTTTAAGAGGTTCGTTTGTATCAGGATAAATATCACTCTTCAAAGAACAGTAAGTAGTAAAACTGATTATTTACACAGAATATAAAATATACCATCAAAAGAAACGAATTTTAAACTTGTTGGAATAAATGATCTACAATAATTGTGGGTGGCACTCGATAAGGATAATTATTAATTGTGAAGGTGTTATGTACTGGTGCGTATTCAAATGCACTCTCTGTATACAAAGCTGAAGATCTAATAATATCTTCTATAATAAAAGTAAATACACTTGGCTCAGTATTCGGTGTTACGAGTTTTCCGCAATCCTCTTCTACCTTGCGCCGTTTGGCACCTGGCCCGGGCTGAGTTCAAAACGATAATTTACCCCATAATTAGCACTCGTCGTACTCTAACAAAAATGTCCGCTTTTATACCTCCCAAAATTATTCTATATTTATTACCCTCTTTTTAATCTGACTTGAAACCTTTTTGTTTTCGCCTTTTGCCTACACAATTTCTGACCGCTTTAACTTGCAAATTACGCGCCCAAATTTTGAGCCCCATTTATATCTCGAACAATTACTATTATCACAATTTGTTTTCGAACAAAATACTTGTTATTCTTTTAAATAATTAATTTAATTTAATATCAATATACATATCATTCAACTATTCAAAGTAATTAAATATCTCATAGTTCCTTATGTGCAGAAATAATTAAACAATCATATATACGTAAAGAACGGGATTAGAAGCTAATTTTACCAAAAATAAAGTTCCCAGCAGCATTAGGATCCTCAGATGTGAAATATTCCTTCCATAGTTCCTGGAATTCACTCCAAGTTACACTAGACTTGCCCTTGGATAGTTTGTTAAAAGCTTGAACTGCTTCTTGTTTATTCAGACCAAAAGATGCATAGATGGTTGAAAATTCACCCGCATCGATTGATCCATCTTTACTAGAGTCCTCAATATCAAAAATGAATTTCATACAAGCATTTTGCCATTGTTGTGGGGCATTAGGATTCTTTGCATACTCATCGCAAATGTCAATCCATTCTTTAGCAGATACTTGTCCATCATTATCAGCATCACCACGCTGTTGCAACAAATTCCAAATAGTCTGAAGAGATTCCAGTATCTCCTTGAATTTAGCATCACCTGGTTGATAACCTCTGACTTTGGCAATTTTGCTTGCAATTCCTTCTAAGTCATTATTGTCAATGCTCCCACTCTTGTTGCTGTCAAACAAGGTATTGAAGACATGAAGTATCTTCTTTTTTCTAAAATCTGATACCATTTTTGCTAATGTACTTGTCTCTCCAAATAATTGTTTCTCACGTCTGCTACAGATTATATACCCATTTTGTTATCAATGTTGAATCAGTGATGTAACTGTGACAAAGTAATCATGCTATCTTAACAGCATTGCAGTGTATACTTTTCATTTTCAATTTGTTTGTTTTAAGATTCATTTACGTGGTCACAAGGCTTGGTTTATAGCGACTCGGTTTGAAGTTAATCATGCTATACTTTGTGTTTTATTGGCAATTCCATTTCGTTCGTGATCTCATTCGGTTAAATGTAGCCGCTGTTGCGGTTGTTAACTGTTGTTGTTTGTGTAGTCGTCATAAGTGGATCAACAGAGATAGTTATTACTTTATACACTTATACTATTACTTTATACTTTATACAGAGATAGTATTACTTTCCTTTGATAACAATGCATTTTATCAAATGAGAAGTTTCATTTACTTTTAAACGAAATATACATATTTAATAAAAGAAGTTTGCTTTACTTTTCTGGAATTACGATATGAAATACCGCAGCTGTTGAACGACTTTAGGTGTTGACATATTGTGAAGCACAGGAGCATTACGAACAGATACGTGCAGGGAACGCCTTGGGTCGCAACATACGCCACTGGTACTGCCGCTGTGACGGATCGAGCGCATCACTCATGATGGTCGTCAGCACGCCCACTAACACGAGTTTCGAAGAAACCCACATGGATGTGACATTTTGCCAACTAATGAAATAGGCAGAGACACTAAACCCTGAGCAAATTCAGACTGAATAAAAACATGAAGCCGCTGTCTCCATGACGTGTATATAACAAATTTTGACACATTTATGTTATTTTTATTTTGTCTCTGTGATTCTAACTATACTGTACTGTGAACCTACCTCTCATCATCATCATTAACTGAATTATACGTCCCACTAATGAGCACGAGTTTTCTCACAGGCGACAGTTTAGGCCATAGTCCGCCACGTTTTCTGAAGAATTGAGGAATGGGTAGGGAAAACCTACATCCACAAGTACGTAAATCCTTAACTGACTTTGCAATTGTAAAAACACGAACAATGTAGTGTTGACCCCATATGACAAACCCACACGAGACCTTCAGATATGATGAAATTTGTTAAATTACAAGCACATGAGATTTGTCAACTTTGTCTCAGAGCGACGGGCGCAGTGGCAATGTTCCTCAAGTCTTTGCGATTTAAAGCTCTGAGTGGCACTGCAACTGTTATGGACAGGCGTGACGCTCAACAGCAGGCGCACGACTTGTTCATCCTATCGTCGCTTGGTACCATAAAAAAACTTGGTTACACCACCTACTCTACAAATGCACTCGCATTTTTTACTTTTGATTTGCACTTCATCGTTTTGCATTGCATCATTTTCTACTATTTACTTGGACAACGCGACATTATCTTTGTCGTTGGTTCAGCTTCACAGAAAACTAGCATAAGGAGGCCTTTTCTAACGTTTCGTTACAAAAAGCTGTGTGCACACTTTGGTAATTCTTTTATTTTGCGTTTTATTCCTAAAATCATTTTATTATTGTTATCGTTTTGTCACATGCGAACAAAGGTTACCAAATGAATTATTTTTATTTATTTCTTACATCATATATCTATCATTCTTAGTTAGTAATGAGCATTAGATAAAAAAGATGTCCTAGCGTCGAAAAGATATTTCTCGTAAGATCTAGAAAATGAATATATCCAATGCAGCAAGATTCAGTTGACCTTATAAAATTGGTATCAGTCGAACATTGGGTAACATCATTGCAATTTATTAGAGGTGAGTTAAATGTAAAAAATGTAAATGTTAAAAGCCATTGTTGACCAAACAGATACCGTACGCATGAACTACAATCTACCAATTCAAATGCTACTAGAGCATAAATTACAATTGAAAGCATAAATACCGTGACTTTACGTTTGATCATTGATATTATCGTTGTTACGTTTTTACCATCTTGCAGTTACTGTAACAGTTATTGTATGATTACCATTAACTACGGATTACTTACCACGGTATGACTATTTGTTACTATTTACAATACTAATTGACAATGGGTCAACACACGCCCATTTTTTTCCGTCCTCGAAGGTGTCCATAGATCATGCAATGTGATACTGCAGCTAGAAACCTGTAATTAGTGATAAGAATTTAGTCAAAAACCACGAACGTTTTATAACATCAAGCTATTATAATTGCCTTCCAAACGAGAGCAGATTGTTAATTATTTATTTGGTATTTTTAATTTAAAATAAAACGAAAGTTTCATTGAGCCTGTGTAAATAAATAATTGTTGTTTGACAAATGTTTTTTTTTTATGTAAATGAATGTATAATTAAATTATAATACATTGTCTCTCATGAGATCCCTGAAACGAGTAATAAAAAGTTTTCAATTATAATTTCATAAACCATATCACAAAGGCGCTCTTTTTAGTTCTCAACCAATTTATTTTGACTATGGTACTCGCTACTGAACTACAAATTTTCAAAAAAGAACGTTGTATTTTTGCTAACTAAAATATCAAATATGACGCTACTCCACTACTACCTCCTGATTGGTTAAATTGTCCAAAAGGGCTTGCCACCGGGTCTTAGTAGTAGTTTATGTGACTGTTACCTATTGCAAGGCATTAAAATACGCGTGAGCATTAAAACATCTCACGAGTGTTTTAATGCCTAATTATGTAC